GGAAACCGAGAAGGCCTTGTTGGAGGAAAAGGCTAATCACGATGCAGCTCGGAAAGAATGTGATGAAACTCGCGAACTGGTAGGTAGGCAAAGGGATGCTCATCAGGCCGAGTTGGCCAAACTTGAGAGGGAGAAATCATCTTATGGCGAGTTTATGTACGAGAATGGCTTTCAGGCCGGGAAGGATTCGGTCGTCGTTGAACCGAAGTCTGGGGATGATGCCGAGATGGAAGTTGCGGAGGTCGGTGAAGATGGAGAAGCCGGCGGTCCTGACCTCGAGATTGAAATGAACACTTGCTTGAACTTGAGGTGGATTATTGAACGCTACGACGCCGGCTATTACGATATCGATGACCTTCGCTTGTTCCTCTTCCACAAATTGGAGAAGTACGGATTTGACTCGGAGATTAAGGGGATGCACGTGGCGGCTGATGAAGACGAACGGGAATTCTGCGTGTGGATGCTCCGCCGTTCAGAAGAAATAAATGCAAACCCAGATTTGCGACCACTCTCCGAGGATAGGGATGCTCTTCTCCGACGTGCTTACGTCAACATGATCTTGGAGGAAGAGAAGAAAAAAAGGAAGGAGTTGGCCGACGTGTACCTCTCGACATTGGCCGAGGTGGAGGTTGAGCAGCATTTTGATGATATGACTCCCGAACAAATCCAGAGCCGAGTTAAAGCATACCTCGAGGAGAAGGCAAAGTCGGCCGAGAAGGATGTTGAAGTGGTGAAGGTTGTCACGCCGACTGAAGATGGCGTTGAGAAGCTGACCGACCCTCGTGATGATCTTATTCCGGTGCCTGATGGGGCTATTGAGGCTGTTGCCAAAATGAAGGAATCGCAGGTCCTGGAGTGACTATCTTCCGGGATCGAAGTCGGAGAAAGCAGCGGCACCGGAGAGAATGTGGAGAAACCGACCGAGGAGGTCTAAAGTTGATTTTCTGTGTTTTGTCTTTATTGTTTTATTTCATTTGCTTATTTGCATAAGGTAATCGGGGTGCCGGCATGTCGGCATCCTTAGTAGGTAATATTTGAAGTATGATATGTAACCGGGGATATCGGATAGCCGAATCCCTTAGTAGGAAATATGTAAGGGATTTACCAAACTTCTCAAAATATATTTATATATGAAGTGTTTGCATATGCTTGATTTTGATGGTATGTTTGCTGTACAAATTTCAGCAATTTTTTGACCAAGTGCTCTGAATTCGGTTTTTATTAGAAAATGAACTGTTTCAACTCGGAATTACTTAAATCATGATCCGAGTCGTAAGATTTTGTAAAAATAACTTCCGAATTCCACTTTGATCGTTTATAAGAATCTCAGCCACAAGTGTGAATCGATATGCGAGTTTTCAAATAACTTCGCAGAACTCAACACATTTTTAGGGCTGTACGGGAAACAAAATGAAAGTCACCGGACTTCGTCAAAGTCCGATTATGGAATGGCCCCAACCGACTTTATATGTTGTGTATTCGGTAATATTCGGGGCCCGTCAAGTCACGTATGTTGAAATGACGTTTGATGAGCGTCACCCCCATCCGAGAATAGGTGGTACTCGGACATATTATGGGGCATCAGCTAGACCGAGTGTCGCAATGCTTACATCGGTATGATATATTTAACCGAGTTTCAAAAGGTTTACATCGGCATCGAGCTTGGTGCTCGACTTTTCAAAATACACAAACTGATAGGCTATTCAGTACATCAAAAGAGGTGATTTCAGGCATTCACCGAGACAAAAAGAAGGTCCGTACAAGAGGGGGGTCGACTATGCGACCTCGGATCCTTCACTGATAGAATTTTTTCAAGAACACTGCGTTCCAAGGATATTGATGTGGTGTTCCATCGGGATGAGCAATTCGGTAGGCCCCATGAGGTAGGATTTTGATGATTTGAAAGGGTCCTTCCCACCGCGGTTTGAGTGGTCCGGGGTCAGGCCCCATCATACGCTTGAGGACCAAATCTCCAACTCGGAACGCACGGGGTTTGAGTTTAGAATTGATGTATCTTTCGTTTCTTTGCTTGTATGCAGCATTCTTGAGTTCGGACCGAGTACGGTGTTCTTCAAGCAGGTCCAGATTTTCTTTCATGTTTTCCGAGTTGGCTTCTTCGGTGAAATGCTGAACTCGGTAAGTCGGTTCTCCGAGCACCACCGGGACTACGACTTCGGAACCGTAAGTCAAAGAAAATGGGGTCTCGCCGGTGGACGTCCGAGTGGTAGTTCGGTAAGCCCACAGGACATGTGGCAACTCCTCGGGCCAAGCTCCTTTGGCGGCGTCAAGTCGGACCTTGAGACCATTCTTTATGAGTTTGTTTACGGCTTCAACCTGACCGTTGGACTGCGGATGGTAAGGCGATGAGAAGAAGTGTTTGATGTTGTATTCTTCACACAGGGATTCAAGTCGTTTGCCTTCAAATTGTTTGCCGTTGTCGGTTATGATTGAATTCGGCACCCCGAAGCGACAGATAATTGACTTCCACACAAAATCTACGACCTTCTGTTCGATTATCGTGGCTAACGGTTCGGCCTCGGCCCATTTAGTAAAATAGTAAACGGCCACGATAGCAAACCGGACACCTCCCTTTCCGGTTGGTAGAGGACCAATAAGATCAATCCCCCATTTGGCAAAAGGCCACGGACTGTAAATTGATTTTAGTTTTTCGGGAGATTGATGGATGTTCGGGGCAAACATTTGGCATTTCGGGCATTTGCGCACCCATATGGCGGCGTCGGTCTTCAAAGTCGGCCAGTAGTAACCTTGCCGCAGGATTTTATAAGACAATGCTTGTGCACCGGGGTGACTTCCGCAAATCCCTTCGTGGACTTCTTCAAGAATGTACCGTGAATCAGTTTCACTTACGCATTTCAAAAGTGGAACGGAGTATCCCCTTTTGAACAGAGTTCCGTTGTCTAATGCGTACCGAGCTGCTCGAATCCGAAGTGCTCGAGCTTCTTTTGGGTTCGGAGGTAAGGCCCCAGTTTCTAGGTAGTGGATGATAGGATCCATCCAAGTTGGTGATTTTTGCGATGCTACTGGGTTGATGGCCGTGACCTCGGAAAGGGCAGTTGATGGTTGTTCTTGTTGGCCGATTTGGATGTACTCCGCGCTCTCCATCCCGGTGCTGGACGCAAGTCAAGATAAGGCATCTGCTTGAACATTGAGAGTTCGGGGGATATGCTCGAGGTCGACGGAGAATTTTGATAATTTTCGTTTGGCCAAAGAGAGATAAGGTGTCAACCGAGGTTCCTTGACTTCATAGGAACCATTGATTTGATTAACAAGGAGCTGTGAGTCTGAGAAGACTTTGAGATGGGTCACGTTCATGGACTCTGCCAAATTCAATCCGGATAGCAGCGCTTCGTATTCGGCTTCATTGTTTGTTGCTGGAAAGAGGAATTTCACCGAATGACAGAATAACCGATTCTCTGGATCAGCTAAGACTATCCCTGCACCTGCTCGGTTGGCTGTTGAAGAGCCATCAATATAGAGGACCCATGGTTGATTATTATAGTGAATCGCGATGGCCGGGGTGAACTCAGCGATAAAGTCGGATAAGACTTGAGCCTTGATTGCGGTCCTCGGTTGATAGTGGATATCGAATTGTCCGAGCTCAATGGCCCATTTAACTATGTGTCCCGAGGTGTCAGGTCGGTGCAAGATCTGCCGAAGTGGATATGAAGTGCGAACAGTTATAGAATGCTCTTGGAAGTATGGTCGTAATTTCCGGGCTGCAATCACAAGGGCAAATGCCAACTTCTCCATCAGAGGATAACGTAGTTCGGCATCGTGCAAGGCCTTGCTGACATAATAGATAGGTGACTGCAGCAATCCTTCTTCGCGTATCAAAACAGCGCTAATGGCAGATTCACTAACTCCGAGGTATAAGAACAACATCTCCTCGGGTTTCGGCTTTTGCAAAGTCGGGGGAGAGATCAGCGTTTCCTTGATATTGTCAAGAGCTTTTTGGCATTCCTCAGTCTATTCAAAACGTTTCCCTTTCTTGATTGCTTCAAAAAACAGCTTACAACGATCTGTAGACTTGGAGATGAACCGGTTGAGTGCAGCGAGTCGGCCAGTTAGGGCCTGGACACCCTTGACCGAGGTTGGGGGAGTTAGCTCCTGAACGGCCTTTATTTTGGCCGGATTGGCTTCAATCCCGCGCTGGTTAACCATATAGCCTAGAAATTTTCCGGATTCAACTCCAAAAGTGCATTTCTTCCGATTTAGTACCATGGAATAAGATCGGAGGATGGCAAACATGTCTCGAAGATGCGTTATATGATCAAAGGCGTGCACCGACTTGACGAGCATGTCATCAACATAAACTTCCATAGTGTGTCCGATCAACGTTGCGAACATTTTGTTGACAAGACGTTGATACGTGGCTCCGGCGTTTTTTAATCCGAATGGCATCATAGTGTAACAATACAAACCTCTGGCCGAATAGAATGAAGTATGTTCAGAGTCCTCGGGATCCATAAGAATCTGGTTGTAGCCGGAGTAAGCGTCCATAAAACTCATCAACTCATGTCCCGACGTGGCGTCAACCATATAATCTATGTGGGGAAGCGGATAACTGTCTTTTGGGCACGCCTTGTTAAGGTCGGAAAAATCAATACATAATCTCCACAACCCGTTACTCTTTTTAACGAGAACTGGATTTGAGACCCACGTCGGGTATTTGGCTTCCTTGATAAATTTATTGTCAACGAGTTTTTTGACTTCTTCTTCCAATGCCTTCTGACGATCCGGCCCCAGTTTCTTTCTCTTTTGTACAACAGGCCGGACTGTTCGATCGAGGTTTAATTTGTGGCTAGCGACACCGAAGTGCGTCTGAAGCTCCATGCAGGTCCATCCATGAGGTGTAATGACCGAGGTGTGAGTCCGGGTCAGATGTTCCATCATATAGCCCGATTTGGGGAACCTTGACTTTTCCAGGAACTGGTTCCGAAGTAAGTTCCGGAGTGAGGGGAGAGTCGGCTTCCAAATACACCTGAGCCGAGGTAGAGGCCCGCCGAGGTGGATCCTCAGGTGCCCGTTGCCGACTTTCCAATTCGGCTATTCGTCGTCGCAGTGTTTCGAGTTCGGACGACTCTTGGCGAGCCCGATTCTGTTCAATATGCTGTCGGAGGTCGGTTTGCGTCGGATTGGAAGGATGTCGGTGCTGCTCACGAGGCGGCGTCCGTCGTAAATGACCCGACTGGCTTTCGGCAGTTTTTTCTTGGGGAAGCATGGGAGGATTACGCCCGGCGTCAGTGCGTCGTGTATTTTGTTCCGGAGGCGGTTGTGACATTCGATCACGAGGTTGAGATGTAGCATGAGATGTTGTCCTTCCGCCGTCTTGTCGGCCGGTGGGTTTTGCCGGTTCGCGGGGGTCGTGGGAATGATGGAGTGTTTGGGCCATTAAAGCGGCAAAACCACGCACAAATTCCGGATTTTGAAACAGAACAGCATAATCCGGCGCAGGTGGAGCCACGGCTTGTCGTCTGGCGGATTGTGCGGCGCTACGACTTTGGCCGTCTCGTGACGTGTGACCACGATGATCTGAGTGAGACATGGTGGATATGGCTGGTATGAACCGTTACGTGAAAAAGCAGAGATTAACCTCAAATCACTTATGAGGCCCTCCTTCTAGCGCCAAACTGTTGTTATGTGATTTTTAACAACGATGTAACTTGTGATTAAGTGGATAATTTTGAATGATTTGGACATAAAGCATGTAAGATTAAAATGGCCTCGATCCGAGGTGAACCGAGGTGAAGAGCCGTGATGGGCTTTTACGTGTTGCTTAGTGAAGTTTTTTTTTTCAGTTCGGAGAGAGATCCCCGTACAAATGTCATGGGCCCGCTATTTATAGTAATTTTGGGTTGATACATTGGGATCTGTGCATTACTTTTTCGAATAAAGTTACTTTTTGTGGGCGGTTTGAGGCAGGGGGTCCCACATAAATGATGACGGATCTTGTGGAGCAGGAGGGTTGTTCGTAGGCACCTTGTCACCTGCTTAAGGAGGTGACAATCTCGGTCCATGTTGACGTCGGTAGATGTTGACTTCGGTAGATGCTGACCACTTCGGTCTTCGGTAGTTCGGTGCGGTTCGTCGCCTGAACCGGGGTGGTGTTTAAAATCACGTCGGTTCAATGATTATCTTCCTCTTAATGTGACGTTTGGAATCTCTTGATGTAGGCTTACCGATCCGGATGATAACAGCCTAATTCCAAGCAGGGCACCGTGAAGCCAAAGAAGAATGTTCCTCCACCATATCGGCAATCAACTCGTCAAAGCCAAAGTTCCGGTACTCCACCAGATCCAAATCCTTCCACCATGGAAACCGAGAACATTCAACCTCCCGTCAAATCCACAACTAGGGTTTCTCCAAGCCCTAAAAAATCCTCAACGACTAAAGCTTCTCAACCTGAAGTCGCCGAACCCAGCGACAAAGAATAAAAAAGTTCTCCGTTTGTCGTCCAATCTCCAAAGAAACGCAAGAAGGTCGCTGAAACCGTCGCACCCAAAACCAAAAAGGCTAAAAAAGTGGTTCATGTGCCTGAACCTGCTGCTGGTACTCTTTCTCACACGAAATTTGGAGGAGAGTCATCTTTGGATTCTAATGCTGATGCTATTGAACGTGAGGTTACCAACTATGTTGTTGAACCCGAGAAATCTGACAACAAACATGCTGCGGACAAGGAACTTTCTCCTCTTGGAAAAGAACAAATTGTTTCCGAAGTCGAGGGTGATGGTCCAGATAGTCCTCTTACTGTCCGTAATGCATTTTCTCTTCAGTTTTATTCTCCTTTGGCTGAAACACGCTTTTCTACCATCTTTTCTCAAATGAAGTTTCGTCCTGAGCGGGCGATTGATAGCGAACACTATGAACAACTTGGGTTGATTGAACTTCTGAAGAAAGTGGGTCTTGAGGGCTCAGTTACATCTGTTGGAAAGTATTGTCCCAGGCTTATTGGTAAATTTTATTCGAACCTGACTACCTCTATCGTTGATTCATCCTCAAAGAAGTTTCAGAAAGTGTTTGTGTGTAATAGTGTGGTTGAATTCTCTCCATCTGTTGTGAACTCTGTACTGGGTTTAGCTGAAGGTTCCTCACTTCGTCCTCTGACTGATGATATTGATGAAGTTGCTCGCACCTTAACTGGTGGACAACTTAGAAAATGGCTTGCTCCGGGAATCTTTGTGAAAAGCCTGACTCCGCCTGCCAATGCTCTACAGAAGATAGGTGCGTCAAATTGGACTCCTACCACTCATAAGCAGTTTGTCACCCCTACGCAAGCTCGTGTTAACTATCGTATTCTGAATGGTACTCCATTTGATGTTGGTTCTGTGATCTTTGATGTTGTAGTATGCTTTGCGGAGATCTCCAAGCCTCATAAGTTGATGCTGTACCCATCTACCATATATGCTATTCTCCTTAAGGCTGGGGTGAAAATGGATCCTCGTCTTGATGATAGTTATGCCCCTATTAACAAACCTCTTTCCCTTGCCGGTGTTAAGGTTGCTCCGCCCGTCCATCTCTTGTTAAGGCCTCTGATGTACCTTCACAGCTTCGCGGATTTTTAAATCATCAAGTGGCAGTTTTCGCGGGGCTCGAAAAGAAGTTAGCTGATCAGAGAAGGTACTACAAGGAGGTTTTGGGTGCTTTGAAGTCTCGTGCCTCGTTGGTCTCTAAATCGAAAAAGGGGGAGACAAAGAAGGATGTTATTGCTGCAAAGAAGAAATCCCTTGCTAAGGGGGAGAATAAAACTCTTGCCAAGAGGGAGAAGAAGGCCGGGTCTACTGAAGAAAAGAAGTCAAAGGAGGCTGATGCTGCTAAGGAAAAAGGTAAAGAGAAGATTTCTGTTGTTAAGGACAAAGAAAAGGAAAAGGTTGTGGAAGAAGATGAAGGTTCAGAAGAAGGAGAGGATGAAGGAGCTGCATCTGATACCGAGGATGAGGAAGAGGAGGCAAGCTCAGAGGAAGGGACCGAGGATGTGCTGAAGAAGGTTCTGGGGAAGAATCTAACGAGGAAGAATCTGCATAGCTATCTCCCAGCAGGACTTTCATTTGTCTTGTGTTAAAAAAACTCTATTTTGTGTGTTTTAGCCTAAACTTCTTTCCTTATGCTTTATTAACTTGCGTTTGATGAATTTTTGTGGGATATCTTGTGAACTAATGTGCTGATATTCAGTTATTTGAAGTTGTACCTTGGAACAACACATGTGTGATATTAGTATTCATATGAAGTTGTGTATTCTGCAGTTTTTGTATTTGTCTCATCTTTGCAGGTTCATGGTTTTTGATTTATCTGCCAAAGGGGGAGATTGTAAGTGCTGAAGATTGGCAGTAAATCGATGAACCTTCTGATATTCGTAGAGTCCGGAAATTTACGGAAGTATTTAAGGGAAGTTTATTTTTGGTATGAATTAGTTTTAATTTTAATTAAGTCCAAAGGACTGATTATGTATTTTATTATTTTGGCAGGACCTTGGGATTGAGGGGGAGATATGCTTTCCATAATCTAGAGTGAAGGGAGATCGCGATATACGATTTCCATAATCTAGAGTGAAGGGAGATCGCGATATACACTTTCCATAATCAAAGCTGAAGAAGCTCGAGAGATTTTACATTCCTTATGCGCATTTGTCTTGGGTGAAAAGACTTCCCATAGGATGCTGAATATAAAAGGAGAACGAGACCTGAGTTGAGGATGACATTTGTTTTTTTGAATTTTTGAGTTTCATTTTCTGTTTTCTTTTCTTGAGTGATAAGCACAATATATTAGTTTTTGTAACAGAATGTTCAGAGGTTCATTCTAATTTAGTTTGAGGGATTCGAACTAAAAAAATCCACAAGGGAGTTGTGGTCGGATAAGTAGTTGTGTGAATCATTATTCAAGTGGAGTGTAGAGGGAGTCTATACTGTAAAAGCTTGGATGATGTATGAGTTGTTCACATTAATGAAAGAGATCTGAAGGGAGAGTGGGATGCTCTCCTGAAGGTTCAATTTTTGCTGAAAGCTGCTTCCGCAACTGTTTGAATATTCATTACTGTTTGTTAGTCTATTTTTGTGCTACTCTGGATACTTGGTGTAATATCTCATTCAGTAATTAATAAAAATAATTATTTTCGAGTTTGAACTAAATTACTTTTATT